GTCCGCGAGCTAGTTTCGCTGTAATATGGCTCTGCATTGGGTTACAAACAGAAAATTTTTCACAATAAGAAAATCAAAGTAGAAAAATTGAAGCGAGAGATTGGCGTTTTTAATAGTGGTGAAAAAGTGTACAAAGCAGAAGGAACTTCCCAGAGTACATGCGGTATCTTCATTAAATCACTCTTGTTTTGGTGCTACCATCTTTTCCTTGTATTTCACCCGATCTTTGGCAGCCGTGGCAGCTTTATTGATATTTTTTCAGTGAAATTTTACTCTTTTTGGAAGGCCAACAAATAATTATGGCATACTTTTCTTTGACAGCACCACAAAACGAGCAATTCCATAGCTTTTTAACTCATCCTTGAGCTCTCAAGTTAAGCAAGTTACGAATCTAAAAATTTACATAAAAATTTTGCTCTCCTTAAGATTAACTTCACTTCCAAACGCTCCTTGACTTTGCAAAGCTAGGGAAAGCTAGTGAAAGCTGAAACTACTGAATAGTGTTACGCAATAACGACATGCCGATTGCTTGTGAACGCCAAAGGAATCCCAATTACCATTATATAGTGCTGGAGTTTTGTTCCCTGTGATGAGCCATAGGACTAGTCACGTTAGTTTGCTGCAGAAGCATTTGGTTTTGGGCAAATAGTTAACCTTCACATCCTGCTATCAAATATAAAGTATTTCGGATTTTAAAAAGTTGAAAATGTTTTCAGGTTGCTTTTTTTGTGGAGCTATTCATCATTTGTCGCAAATCTGTCCTCAGTTTTAAAATTAGTGATAAAAAAAAGCTCTTCAACTGATTGATAGTGGAGATTTTTGACCTTGAAGCTGAGCGTGGATGATGATTATAAAATTACTTTTTTCCTACCTTGCACTAGTTGCTCCTCGAATGACATGCGATTCTTTTGACGCTCCTCCTCAGGTATATCTTCAGCACTTTTAGCATTATGTTTAGTGGACAAGTAATCCACGACAACCTGAAACATACCTATGTAATTATGCTAAGAAAATAGTAAATTATTATAAAGTACCTGATGATCTTTGCGGCGTGCCAGATCCAAGGGAGTGTAGAGTTTGTTCTAAAAATCTAGTATTCGAAGAAGAGCATCAAATCTTGCATAAAACAAAAGACCAGCACAAGTATTTTTAGAAATTGCTCATATTGTGCTTTTTGCGTTATGCACAACAAGAATTTCTTCTATACCAACAACCTTCAATAATCGAAATCAATT